GGGTTTTTTTTTTTTTTTTTTTTTTTTTTTTAATGGTCTTGGAGATTGAACCCAGGGCCTTCCACTTGCTAGACAAGCACTCCCCCACTGAGTAGGTCCCAGGCTTTTAAAAATTTTATATTGAAGGACAGGGATGTAGCTCAGTGGCACCACACCTGCCTGGCAAGGCCAAGGTCCTGAGTTCAATCCCCTGTACTGGAAGAAAATAAAATAAAATCTATATTGAGTCAGGGTCTTGCTGAATTGCCTAGGCTGGCCCTAAATTTGTGATCCTCCTGCTTCATCCTCCTGAGTAGCTGGGATTATGGGCATGTACCATCATGCCCTGGGGATAGGGAGGTGTTTTTTTTTTTTTTTTTGAGACAGGGTCTCACTATGTAGTTGAGGCTGATCTGGAACTCACTGCGTAGCCCAGGCTGGTCTGGCGATAGGGAGTTATGATGGAGATGAAATATGATAATACTGGCATGGGAGCTAGTGCATGTTTTGGGTATTATAGATGCTCAGAGTATCTGTTCTCTCATTGCTGATCCTTGTCCTGTACTCTTTACTGGCTTCCATGCAATCCTGCTGACTTCATAAAGTATACACTGTGTTCGTCCCATCTTACACACAGGAGCCAGGTTCAGAGAGTAGAGGTGACTGGTCCATGACTGTAGAGCCTTTAATGGAGCCTGGAACTGAACCCAGATCTGATACTGGAGTCTGTACTGCCTTTCTCAATTTGTTTATTTGGGTCTTTCAGACATGCTGGTAGAGCACAGAAGTAACTGATGAGCCCAAGGCTGTGGGAGGGGGACCAGAGCAGGGCCTGGTTGAATTGGCCCAGTATGAGAGGGTTTGGAATTAGAAGGTGAGGTACATTTTGGAAGAGCTATAGGCCATGGGAATGGGGAGTGATCAGTCAGTGCCTGCCTGGAGAAGGAGTTGGGGGTGTGGAGCGCTTCAGATACAGGCGCAGGGGAGGTCTGATGGCAGCAGTGAACATTATGAATGTGGCGGGTTGTGCTGTGGGGGATGCTCATGGGGCTTGTGTGCATCCCCTCTCCAGAGTCTCCTGCTGTGTGTCCCAGCTGTGGTAGTGACCACGTGGTTCTCCTGGCTCTGTCTGGGGAAACCCCCCACAGGGAGCAGAACCAGGCAGAGCAATCACCGGCTCCCTCTCAGTCCCCCAGCCCTGGCTGTGACTCCTCTGGCCACAGTGACCACCCCAGCAGGGCTGACAACATCCTAGTTTCCCACGGCCACAGCAGCTGGAGCCTCAGTCCCCGTGAGTACAGGTGACACAAGATGGGGGCGGACTCTCAGGGAGGGACTGGGCACTGACGGGAGGTGCAGACAGCCCATGGGCTCCCAGGGGCAGACTGATGGCTCAACGGTCTCCCCAGCCGGTGAGCACTGTGGCTTCCGCTCTGTGGACCACCGACTCCGGCTCTTCCTGGACGTTGAGGTGTTTGGAGATGCCCAGGAGGAGTTCCAGTGCTGCATCAAGGTCTGGGTCACCTGGCATTACCCAGTCCTTTAACCGCGGGGCCACTGTCTTCCACAGTGAAGCAGGTCACGTCACGTGTTGGGGAACCGCCACGTCTGGGTTCTGCTTCAGGCACAGCAGATATTTGCTGTGGACACATTCCCTGACACCTGAGTCTGAATTCCCACAGTGGAGATAAAATTCCCCACCTTACAGAGTGCAGTGGCTGAGAGCCAGTGTGAGCTGCTGGGCACAGCCCCTGGCATTCAGTAAATGAGGCCTCCTATCCTTACAAATGCACAGTGTTACTAGACCCTCTTTCTTGAGCATGTAATGTGTGCTGCACATGAAGGATTGACAATAGGTCTTGCCCTCAAGCTTGAATCAGAATCATACAATATGCAAGTGCTATAATGAGTGTCCTAAGAAGGGGTGTCTGATCCAGCCAGGGTGGGGCAGGAAGTCTTCCTGGTGGGTGATGTGTAAGCCAAGTCTTGAAGGGTGAGCAAGGAGTAGGAAGCAAAAGGAGGTTGTAGGTAGAGAAAGCCACCTACATGGAGGCATGAGAAAGAGCAGCTAGTGGAGGGCAGTGCCCAGGAAGGGGAGACCAGTGTCTAGGGTAAAGGGCAGGTGTCCCCAGGGGAGACTGAGACAGGAGAGAGCCTGTTCAGAAGCATCCTGCTGTGTCTACCAAGGTGCTTGGACTGCATCTAGGGGCCACTGGGGAGCAGTGATCAATTTTGTGACCGCCAGTCATAGTGTGGTAAGAAGGTTGCAGGGGAGCTGAGCACTGGGGTCTGAGTAAATGTGAGGTTCATGGGGAATGGGGAGAGTGGAGGATGGGAGTGGCTGTTTGAGGTCAAGGTCACCTTGACCTTAGGGATGGGGAGGGCAACTCAGCCTATGGTCTGGCATTTTCCTCTTTGGTTCTGGTTTCTCATCAACTTCCTTTCCACTTAGGTGCCAGTGGTGTTGTCAGGTCACCTGGGGGAATTCCTGTGTCTTGTGGTCGTATCTGATTACAGGCTTTACCTGTTGAAGGTGACAGGGGACATCTGGTGAGTGAGTCAGTCACATGGCCAGGGAAGTATCGGGGCCTCCCTGTCGGTCTCCTTCTGTCCTTACCCTTGGTCACTCTGCCCCTTCCTCCACAGCGGGCCTCCAGCTAGCTGGCTTCAGCCGACCCTGGCCATTCCCCTGCAGGATCTGAGTGGCATGGAGCTGGGCCTGGCAGCCCAGAGTCTGCGGCTGGAGTGGATGGCTGGGGTAGGCAGCTGTGTGCTGCTGCCCCGAGATGCCCGACGTTGCCAGCTGTTCCTCGAGGAGTTCATTGGTGAGAGGTGGGGGAAGGAGACAAGCAGGGCCCTCGGGCAGATCCCCAGTTTGGTGCCCAGCAGTGGAGACCGGGATCATGGGACTCATTCCCTATAGAAGTTTCTGGAATCCAGAACAGGCGGGTGGGAGAGATGGAGAGGTTGGGGTAGAGGAGAGAAGAGGCCTCTGAGGATTCCTGTCCCTGGCTGGCTCTGCCCAGGTGTCTTGCAGTCTCTGCCCCCAACCCGGAGGAACTGTGTCAGTGCCACCGAGGAGGAGATGACCCCACGGCACCGGCTCTGGTGAGTCCACAGGGCATGGAGGCCAGACATGGTCCTGGGCCACTCAGGTCCCAAGCTGCCACCTGTCCTCATTCCTCCCACAGGCCCTGTGTCTGCTCCCAACCTACTCCCTCCCTGAAGCCTTTCCTGCCTCTTTCCTGACACTCTTTCTGCTTCTGCCATGTTCCCCAGGCCTTTGCTGGGACAAGACACTTCCTCAGAGGTGCCACAGTTCTTCTATCTTCAGGTGTTCCTGGTTGAAGGTGAGCCCTCTGTGCTGCAGATGTTCCCTGGTTTCTGTACCCCTGCTTGTCCCATGTTACAGGCCAGCCCCCCACAGTGCCTTCACAGCACCCGTGTAGCAGTCTTTTCTCGTGGGTGTGCCCAAGCAGCAGCCTGGGTGTTCCCTGTCTGTCCAGGTAGGGTTGGGGTTCCCTGGGCCCCCAGCTATCCAGTAAGATTTGCTTTGGGGTTCAGGCTTCCCTGAAGTGTGCAGGTTGGTTGGATCTGCTCCCCTTGTCCTGTGAAGGGGCAGTAGCTCCCTGTTTGTCACAGCTCTCTGGATTTGGAAGCTAGGGAACCCTGGACTTTGAGAAAGGGGTGCAGGCTGCTTTGCGGCCCACTCCTGAGTGTGGTTCATGCCTCTTGTATTGAGCTGTGATGCTGGCCCCTAGAGGTGGGTCCTCCATGGCTTTCTGCTGTGGCCTCATACTGCCTCTTTTCCTCCAGGACCCTCCACCTGTCCTGTATCCCTGTTGCTGACTCTGGCCACCTTGTACCTGTTAGATGAGGACCCTGCAGGGTCCCAGGCTGAGCTCCCCCTCCCAGCAGCATCTAGTGATGCCTCTGAGAAGGCCTCCTCCTTGGGGCTGGGCCCCTCCGTGCAAGTCAGGGAGCAGCAGCCACTCAGCAGCCTGAGCTCAGTGCTGCTATATCGCATGGCCCCCGAGGACCTGCGGCTGGTCTTCTATGACGAGGTGTGTGTCTGTGTCTCCATGTGCAGGTGGAGGTGGCGGGCATTGAGTTTGCTGTGGAAATGGGTCTAGGGAATCTGGGAGTTAGGAGCAGGATGGAGCTGAGGGGTGGGCTGGCATGGTGGAGGGAACACAGAATTAGGGTGCAAGGAACTGGGGGGGCTCACTAGGGTTGAATGAACAGTGGGTAGAGAGGGAGGCACCTTTTAGCAGCAGAAACAACTGTGGCTTGGAGTCTGGCCTTTATTAGCTGGGAGGCCTGGCTCCGAGCTAGTGTGATGGTCCCACTGTGTGCTGACCATTGAACCTCTGTGCCTCCACCTGAGCAGGGTATGCTATTATGGTCCTGTCTTATAGATGAGGACACTGAGACTTGGTCACAAGTGGTACAGCCAGGAATTGAGCCCATGTATTTCTTTGGAACTGACTCCAGAACTCACATTCTCTATAGCTGGGGAGGTTAGAAGAGTGAAGTGTGAAAGCCCTCTAGGGCTGGCAGTCAGTGTAATTGGGTTGTTTATGAGGCTCAGAGTCAGTATCTCTCTCTCTTTTTTCTTTCTTGTGGTACTGAGAATTGAACCCAGGTCCTTCACACTGAACTACAGCAGTAGCCCATTTTTTATTTTTTATTTTGAGACAAGGTCATGCTAAGTTGCCAGGCTGGGCTTGAACTTGTGATCCTCTTGGCAGAGTCAGCATCTTAACGGGGAATCACACAGGCTTGGGCAGGGAAAGAGATGATGAGCCAGGAGGATGGTGGGTGCTCCCCTGAGATGTCCCCTGTCCCCACCCCTGGTGGCTTCCTGTGTATCCCACTTGCTGACTTCTTGGCTTGCCAGGTGTCTCGGCTGGAGAGCTTCTGGGCACTCCGTGTTGTGTGCCAGGAGCAGCTGACAGCCCTGCTGGCCTGGATCCGGGAGCCCTGGGAGGAGCTGTTTTCTATTGGACTCCGGACTGTGACCCAGGAGACTCTGGACCTTGATCGGTGACACTTCCTCTGGCCCCAAACTGACCTCAGGAGCCACGCAGCAGAGGTTTCTCTCCTGGTCTCTGGCTCTGGCTTTGGACTTATCTGGCCTTTGGATGCTGGCACCGAAGCTCCCAGTGACACGTGGCTTAAGGGAAGGGTGAGAGAAATGGTCTTGTTCTAAGGGGACAAGCTGAGTGGTCAGTGGGAATGTTTCTTCTGCAGTTTTTCTCAGGTATCAATAAAGTTATTTCTATTTAGATGTCATGGGTGGTACTTAGGCGTGTTGTTTGTAAGGCCTTCCATTTCACTAGCCTTTTCCTGAGTGGGCAGCTGCCACACAGCCTTGTTTATGCTTTGAGAACCCATCTCCAACTCTGCTCTGTTCATGGCTCTGGGATCATGTAGGACTCTTGACTTGTGGGGACCCATTCCCCCTGCTCGTGGTGACCTGTCATGTTTTAGGGTGTGGAATCACTGCCAACCAAATAGCCAGGCTCAGAAACTCACTGTCGGATCTCACCTGGGAGCAGTGAGGACTTGGGGCTCCTGGAGAGGATATCTCAGGAGTGAGTGTATGTGCTGCACTGTAGATGACAATGGCCAGGCCTAACTCGCCTCCTCCTGCAGAGGAGGCAGGGCCCCGTGGGAGGAGAACAGGCAACAAGAGGGGGTGGTGGAGCAAGCGAAGAGGACTGTATTCCTCCTTGTCCATTCCCCATAAAAACCACCAAAGCATGAAGTTCTGTACACCTTAGCTACTCTTCTGGCTCTGGTTGCAGACTCAGCCCTTGTACCTTCCCCTACACTTCCCTTTATCTCTACCACTATAAATAAATGCGCTGCAGTTGCCTGGTGGTCTTTTTTCTCCTATTGGGAGATAGAGCCCCATCTGGCCCCAGCTTTGTTTCTCTTTGTTCTTTTGTATATCTTTCTTTGTTTTTTCTTAATACCCCACTGTCGTTTCTCATTCTGTATTAGCCACACAGGCCGTGACGTCTGGAGCTTTCCACACCTGCCACCTTCTTGAAGCACAGCCCAGTGGTTCCATGGTTGACATCCCCCCTTCACCTGTCTTCATGTCTGGCCATGAAGACTGGCTCAGGACTGATCACGTGCTGTCATGTGGCCCACCAAGGCCCAGCATTGGCCTAGGGCTGGTACAACCGTGAAAGACGCATTTTCTCTTGAGGGTTGCTGAGAGGACAGACTGGTGCCACTGGCTATGAGGGGAGAGCTTTTCTGAAAGTGGAATCGTGGAGAGGAGAGGATGGAGATAGGTAGAGCAAGACCAAATCCTGGTGATGTCTTTGTGGACCCTGAATCCGATTGTACCTAAAGGTGATATTCCTATAATTTTAGATTATGTGAGTTAACTGATACCTTTCCTTCTTTTGGTGGGTGGGGTAGGTTTAAGCTTGAACAAGCCTGGGTGGGATCTGTTTTTTTTTTTTTTTTTAACCCCAAGTATGAACATAATAGAAACAATAACACCTATGTCTTGTGTAGAGAGGCCCTGCTTCTTGAATGAGGCTGTATGCTGAATCCAGTTCACTTTGTGTGTCAGGTCACTAAGCCTATGGCCTTGACCAGTTTGTGGCCTGATTGCTTTGGTGGGACAGCAGGGCTGAAGGCTGTGTCATAGTTGAGCCTTGGCCTGGCCAGGAATCACATCTCTAAATCTTTGCAGTCAAAATATCTAAAGATTTAAGAGGGGACGTTTTCAAAGCTATTACTTTAAAATTTATTTGAAGAGTATTGAACATGCATAAGAAAGTTTACATTGTACTTTGGGATATACTCCCACTGCTGACCCCTAGATCCTTTCTAGTTGAGCATGGTTACCCATTTTTTGTGCTTCTGTCAAAAATTTCACTGTGTCCACTCCGACCTAGCATTTCTTCCAGAAAAGGGTTGGTTATGGCATTCCATAAAGAGTGAGTGCTAAGATTAGTTTTTCCCCAGGCAGGGCCCTGATCTGGTCTGGTGGGAGGTGGAGAAGTGCTATGAGTCTTGCAGGGGGCCAGGTGGGAGCTGGTTGGGGTACTACTTCCTCAGGAACAGGCCTGCAGAGAGGCCTGGCAGATGCTCAGAAAATAAATTCACCTACTTCTGTTTTGCTTAGAGCTGCCCTGAATTTTTAATTGAAGCAAATTAAACTTCCCCAAATTAGTAGTCCAGTTTCTCAATGATGTTTACCATATTCACTGCCCCTTCCTGTCAGTGATTTTGCAGCCTCTGAGAGCAGGAGGAGCCAGATCCTGTCCTGAGGAGGTCTTCCCAGCCTCTGTCCGGGCACTGCCCTCCAGCACCGTCCCTTTGCAAGCACTTCACCCAGAGGCTGGGGTTGTTGTCTGGTCAGGGCGGATCGATCTCTCCTGTTTAGTGTGCAAAGAAGTGTGTGCATGTTTTTTGGTGGGGGGTGGGTGGGAAGGAGAAGCCGTTTCCCCTCTGACCATCCTTGTTTAAGAATAAGAGAATCCTCTGCAACCTTTGTGCAGAGATGCTTTTTTCTTTGATGACAGATGTTATCAGGATGAAGCCATTAACACTGCAGGAGGCATTTGGCCCTGCAGCTCTTTTCTTTTTCTTCCTTTCCTTTCTCTTTTTCTTCTTCCTTTTTTATTTTGAGAAAGGGTCCTGTAAATTGCCCATGGTGGGCTTGAACTCTGCCATCCTCCTGTCACAGCCTCCCAGAGTAACCCTCCCAGAAGTAGTGCCTCTCCAGATGGACATCCCTCTTTCCTAGACCCTGCTGCACCTGCACAGAGGTAACCGCTGCCCTCACACAGCCTGGACTATCTCCAGAGATCGATCTGTCCAGTCTGGCCTTTTCCCTCCAGCAAGTGCTTATCGATCACCTGGCCTCTGATCACCTGGCCTCTGCCATGCCCTGGCTGCTGTGAAGGACACAGTGGAGACCTCACAGCTCCTGGAAAGCAGTGGAGAGAGGATTCTCACCCTGAAACTGCATCACAAAGCCATGCTGCAATTTCAGTAGAAAGTACCAGGGGACAAAATTCATGTTCATGATTGTGTTTGTATGAATGAACCCTAGGGGGATAAATGAAAAGTGGGTGGTGGGAGATGATGGATGAGAACAAGACAGCAAAGGGACTGAGCTTTCTTTAAGCCCTTGGTGCTGTAGATTTAAAAATGATATTTAAAACTTTATGAGACCTTACTGGGGTTCCCTGGAAAAACTGGTATAAACACCAATTCTGAAGAATTTGGTGGTGGGGAGCAGATTGGTGGAAGATCCATCTTTCACCACTGGAGAAACTCTGCTTTTATTTATGAGTCACATGGAGTGAGGGGTGACATCCTTCCTCATCCTTTGTCAAGATGCTGGGGTACCTTTCAGAAGATGGTCCCATGTATGAATATTCCCTATCTCTTGAGTGCTTGCAATATTTTGTGTTTACTACTCAAGGGTCAGCAGGTATAATTGTATAGGAAGAAGCAAGGGGATTTAGATCTGAAAGATGCAGGATTATGCCTTAAGTTTTGTAGCTCACTAGCCATAGGCAAATAACTTATCCCTTCTCCTTCGTCTATATCGTGAACATTAAAAAAATCAATAGCCCACCTCATTCACAAAGGTGTTGAGTGCAGTAATGTATGTGGAAGTAATGTAGGAGCCATAAAGCACTGAAGAAATGCTGGTGAAAGCCTGCTAGTTACCACACGCTGCTGTGTTGCCTAGGAATGTAATTGGAAGAGCCCCTGCATCTTACTGCCCATTGTGTCTGTGAGTGGATATTTCCCCAGGGCCTGAGAAGGAACCTCAGGCACTTCTGAGGATAAGAGCAAGCCAGGGCATGTTTTGTCATTTGATCATTTTGGACTGGACTTCTCTGTCCTCCACAAAAGCATTCTTCTGTTTATTAGTTACTATAATTACTTATGCACATGTGTTTAGTACCACAGATGCCTCCTAAGCCCTTCCAGTCCTCTATGGAGAGGATAGGGGGAGGGATGCGAAGAAAAATCATACCAGCTCCTGCTTTCAGGGGGTTTGTAGTCCAGGGAGAGGGTGGGGAAGAGAACCCGGGAGCCGCTGATGAGGGATGGAAAGATTATGGTAGGAGAATACCCCAATAATCACCATTTTGGAGCACCTGCTTTGTGCCAGAATGTCTGTTCTTCATTTCCTTGGCATTACTCCCTCAGCCTACCCTCCCTAAAGGAGAAGCTGATCTCCATTTTGCAGGTGAGAAACCTGAGGCTTCTGAGGTGGTCTCACTCGGGGGATGCTGGCACCAACATGTGGGCCCTCTAGAATCTGGGGTCTTTCCCTTCAACCATATTGCTTCTTAGGCCTTCTAGAATGCCCACCCCGGCTCATCCACTGGTCCCTTTACATATGTCCCCCAGTGGCTCCAACTTCTAAGGAGTCCACATCCTACCAGGAAACACCACTGAGTCATCCAGATGTCCACGCAGAGCCATTCTATTCCACTGCAGGGCCTTTCCTAGGCTCTTCCTGCTGCCTGGAGTGTTTTCCCCTCCCTAGCTTCTCCAAAATATCCTTCATTGCAGGCCTGAGTCTTTCATAGTTTTTTGCTTTTCATAAGTTTTTGCTTGTTACCTCCTTACTGAAGATGTCCCAAACCCAGTCACCTGGACCTTTTGCACTCATGGCACTTGCCACACTTCACAATTATAAATTGTATTTTTGCCTGCTTGTTATGTGTAAGTTGCTTGAGGTCAGGCCCCATGCCCATTTTTCTCACCAAATGCATACAAGACTTGACAAGAAAATGTGTGGGCCTCAGTTTATGTACTTGGTTGTGTATGAAATATTGCAACGTTTGCAAAACGACTGTATTTCAGGCCCCCACCCCATGGCGATGCCAGGACTCCCTTACTCTTCTTGTTCTGCATCTTGAGGAGCCTCCTGCTTTGCCTACTGGGTAGGGCAGAGGGTCTGCTCCTTCACACCTCCTCAGCTTTTGGCCATGACACTGTCACTGTTGCTGACCTACTTCCTTTCTCTTGAGACTGCCCTTGATTTCCTAAGGCTTTGACCCTGGATAAACAAAAAGGCAAAACATCTGGTAAGCTATTTTGCTTTCTGTCCTACTGATTCCCCTCAAGGAACAGCAAAATTCAAAGCCGGCTACTTGCTCGGGTAAGGGTGGAAGAGCATGAAAAATGCATGACAGACGCCCACCTCAAAATGCCATCCTAGCCACAAACACATCAGGAGGACAGGGCAGGAAGGTGGATTCTGCAGGGTGAGAGAAACTTCAGGGGCAGTGACTGGAGATTGAATTTGTGCCAAAGCTGAGCCTAAGTTTCCTGAGCAACATATGGATTATGATGGGATAAACTACTGCAGAGTAACAACAATAGTAACTAACAAGAGTGACATTTATTGAGCACCTATTCTGTGCCAGGCATTGAACTTGTATTTTATTTACAGCATCCATTAACTTCAGAGTCTAGGCCATTTCTCAATGCTATGCCACTTGGCCTGTAAGATGTCTTACCACGAGGCCAGTCAACAGCAAAGGGCACTGGATACTCTTCTGTGGGAGGCAGGGAGATATTTTTGGCAAGAGTCTACATGATGACCTAGGGCTTGCTGAACCCACACTTCTTCCCAACCCTCATTAGCCTACTATGTTAGCATTATCAAAGATTGGTCCACTGGGCCTGGGACTGTAGCTTGCCTAGTATATGTGCGGTCCTGGGTTTCATCCCTAGTACTGAAAAGTAAATAAAATTTAGAAATTAAAAAATAAAAAATATGTTCATTGGCTGAGCAATGCTGGAATCTTACCATTTTGGATTTTCCTCACTTCTTCAGTACTGGGGATTGAACCCAGGGATCACTAAGCTACATCCCCAGCTTTATTCTGAAATGGGGTCTCTCAATATGTTGCCCAGTTGGGTTTGAACTTGCCATCCTCCTACTTCAGCCTCCAGAATAGCTGTGACTACGGGTATGTGCCACCATGCCTAGCTCATAGTCAGTGTCTTTAATTTGGCTCTAAGGATGTTTGGGAACTTACATCTCTTAGATTTGTCATGGTGTTTAAACCAGCTGACATTTACCCTTAATTCCT